TGTAGGATGGGTTTGAGGTGTTTGGGATTATGTAGGATGGGTTTGAGGTGTTTGGGATTATGTAGGATGGGTTTGAGGTGTTTGGGATTATGTAGGATGGGTTTGAGGTGTTTGGGATTATGTAGGATGGGTTTGAGGTGTTTGGGATTATGTAGGATGGGTTTGAGGTGTTTGGGATTATGTAGGATGGGTTTGAGGTGTTTGGGATTATGTAGGATGGGTTTGAGGTGTTTGGGATTATGTAGGATGGGTTTGAGGTGTTTGGGATTATGTAGGATGGGTTTGAGGTGTTTGGGATTATGTAGGATGGGTTTGAGGTGTTTGGGATTATGTAGGATGGGTTTGAGGTGTTTGGGATTATGTAGGATGGGTTTGAGGTGTTTGGGATTATGTAGGATGGGTTTGAGGTGTTTGGGATTATGTAGGATGGGTTTGAGGTGTTTGGGATTATGTAGGATGGGTTTGAGGTGTTTGGGATTATGTAGGATGGGTTTGAGGTGTTTGGGATTATGTAGGATGGGTTTGAGGTGTTTGGGATTATGTAGGATGGGTTTGAGGTGTTTGGGATTATGTAGGATGGGTTTGAGGTGTTTGGGATTATGTAGGATGGGTTTGAGGTGTTTGGGATTATGTAGGATGGGTTTGAGGTGTTTGGGATTATGTAGGATGGGTTTGAGGTGTTTGGGATTATGTAGGATGGGTTTGAGGTGTTTGGGATTATGTAGGATGGGTTTGAGGTGTTTGGGATTATGTAGGATGGGTTTGAGGTGTTTGGGATTATGTAGGATGGGTTTGAGGTGTTTGGGATTATGTAGGATGGGTTTGAGGTGTTTGGGATTATGTAGGATGGGTTTGAGGTGTTTGGGATTATGTAGGATGGGTTTGAGGTGTTTGGGATTATGTAGGATGGGTTTGAGGTGTTTGGGATTATGTAGGATGGGTTTGAGGTGTTTGGGATTATGTAGGATGGGTTTGAGGTGTTTGGGATTATGTAGGATGGGTTTGAGGTGTTTGGGATTATGTAGGATGGGTTTGAGGTGTTTGGGATTATGTAGGATGGGTTTGAGGTGTTTGGGATTATGTAGGATGGGTTTGAGGTGTTTGGGATTATGTAGGATGGGTTTGAGGTGTTTGGGATTATGTAGGATGGGTTTGAGGTGTTTGGGATTATGTAGGATGGGTTTGAGGTGTTTGGGATTATGTAGGATGGGTTTGAGGTGTTTGGGATTATGTAGGATGGGTTTGAGGTGTTTGGGATTATGTAGGATGGGTTTGAGGTGTTTGGGATTATGTAGGATGGGTTTGAGGTGTTTGGGATTATGTAGGATGGGTTTGAGGGGGTTGGGATTATTTAGGATGGGTTTGGGTGGTTTTAGATGGGTTTGGGGTGGTTTTTGGGGGGTTAAGGGTGATTTAGGACAGGTTTGGAGTGGTTTTGGTGGGGTTTGGGGTGATTTTTTTCTGGTTTGGGGTGGGTTTGGGTGATTTAGGACAGGTTTGGGGTGGTTTTGAGGGGTTTTTGGGATGATTTAGGGTGGTTTTGGTGGTTTTAGAGTGTTTTTTTTAAGGTTTGGGATGGGTTTGGGCGGTTAAAAATGGGTTTGAGGGGTTTTGGGGTGGTTTTAGTGGGGTTTTGGGTGATTTTTTGGGGGGTTTGGGTGGTTTAGGACAGGTTTAGAGGGGTTTTAGGGTGGTTTAGGATGGGTTTGGGGTGAGTTTGGGTGATTTTAGGGGGTTTGGGGTGATTTTTTTGGGGGTTTGGGTGGTTTAGGATGGGTTTGGGGTGATTTAAGCCAGGTTTGGGATGGGTTTAAGGGGTTCTGGGTTGATTTAGGATGGGTTTGGGGTGGGTTTAGTGGGGTTTGGGGTGATTTTTGGGGGGGTTTGGGTGGTTTAGGACAGATTTAGGGTGGTTTTAGGGGTTTCAGGTTGGTTTAAGATGGGCTTGGGGTGGGTTTGGGGCCATTTTTTGTGCTTTGGGGAGGGTTTGGGTGCTTTAGGACAGGTTTTGTGTGGTTTTAGGGGAGTTTAGGCTGATTCAGGACAGGTTTGGGGTGGGTTTGGGTGGTTTTAGGGGCTTTGGGGTGATTTTTTGGGGGTTTGGATGGTTTAGGATGGGTTTGGGGTGATTTTGGGGTGATTTAAGCCAGGTTTGGGGCGGGTTTAAGGGGTTTTGGGTTGATTTAGGACGGGTTTGGAGTGGTTTTAGTGGGGTTTGGGGTGATTTTTTGGGGTTTGGGGTGGTTTAAGCCAGG